CCTTGAAATAATTTTTTCAAATTCACAAACTTTCAAGGATTTCAAGGACCCGTGGGAACCCTGTTTTTAAATAAAAAGATGTTTTCTTTTACTTTTTGAAGCATACGCACGTCACAGGCACTTGAAGGAACCAACCTCACAAACATGATCTTAGACGTGATCCCAAGCAGATGGTTCAGCACAACCTGAACCTCAATGGAGCCGATCCACTGACGAGACCCCACGAAGGATCCCTGCTTGTCTCCAGCCTCCACCAGGGCCTGGAGAARAGTGAGTCACATAGAGAAGGGCATCTTGGATGCCACTTTTTACTAAAATGGTGTGATTTTTTTGACAGTGTTGTGTGTTGTAACCRGCTCTACCTGCTGGATCTCCCTGTGAGTGGGCACACAGCGCTCTACATAACCTTGCTGCCGGAACCAGGAGCAGATGGTCTGAAGGGAGCGATAAGCACAGCCCCAGCCRTTATCATCTAACCGATCCTGCATGTAGTGGTGGTAGCTGTAGATTCCCTGGACCAAGTACACCTTGACAAAAGACAAGTGCAGAAGTGTAGGAAAAAAAAACTAATGTTTTCATTCCTTACAGACTGAATCTTTAAAAAAAATGCAACATAGTTTAATTTACCTTTCCATTATCGAGAGAAGGGTGTGTTAAAACTGTGTGAGGGTTTCGAAGATAACCGTCCCTGTAGGGTTCATTGGGAAAGTGGTACGCATTGGCTCTTCTAAAGTAGGGCCAGTCATCCGGCAAATTAAATCGCTGATGTAACTCCTGGTTGGACAAAGGAAGAAAAAAAAATCTCATCAATTAGGTCATAACGTTAAAAAAAAAAGAGCACATATTGTGGCTCTTACCCTACGCCGTGTCTCTAATTCTTTGTCAGGCACTCCTGCTGGAAACACCACGGTCACCAGCCCGTTMGGTTCTGGTAGGAAAAAGTGGAGCGGCTCTGGAACGAGCAGCGTCGGCCCCGTCATATGCTGCAGGGTCAACGTCTCCATCTCAATCAGCTGGTGAGTCAGCGCCTCCACCAATTGTGTACAGGCACTGCCAACACAGAACAGGACAATGTGAGAAATGATTATTGTTTTTAAACCAAAAACTCTTCCCTKACATCAACCGAATTCCAAATAGAGACATACTCTTTGATCGTGTTGTTGCAGCTGGTGTGCACAACACAGTCCATGGGAAGCGTTGCAGACAGGAAGTGGGATTTCTGAACCGTCTTGCTGAGGACTGGGGCTGAGAGAGGACCAGGCCTCGTCACTTCCATCATCAGGGAAAGGTTTAGAACACTCTTTAAGAAAAAAAAAAAAACACATTTCACTTTGCATTCAAGTACAAACCCAGAAACACATCTTGAAGAACAAAACTGATTTTACAACCCAAACCGTGGAAGCATTGTGTAAAATGTAATTAAAAGCAGAAAACAGGGGTTTGCAAATTTAAACAACTCCAAAATTTACACTAAGAAATTG